TCTTCAGCTTTGTTCTTTTTGTTTAAGAATGCTTTAGCTATTTAGGCTCTTTTTTGGTTCCATATTAATTTTAAATATATTTTTCCAATTTTAAATATGGGTGGAGTCACTGGAGAAGCCCAAGAAGCAGCCTCTTTCAGCCCACACTCCTTCTGGTTTCAATTTGAAGAGCTGCTGTCCTATCTGCTGCAGTGCACTGGGGTGCAGGGACAAGCAGCAAGGGATGACCCCCCCCTCTCCAAGTTCATTCCTGGGCATTGGTGGTGCCCACTTTCAGCAGCTGGTGCTGTGCTAATGTTTTCTCTGACCCAGTGCTTCAGTGGGCTGCACTCCACCCCCTTCTTAAGGGTAATCTGCACTGAGGGTTAGATCCCCAGGAAAGAGGGGACACCTTCTTCGCACTCCTTAGAGCTGGTGGAGCACTGTCCCCCAGCTGACCAAGAGAACAGGCTGGGCACCCAGCAATGGCACACGGAGACCATTTCCAAGTCATAAAGCTGAGTCTGGCTGCAAGCCTCACTGACCTGGAGAAACCTTGTCTTCAGCAATTCGCCTCCTGCTCCAGTCCTGCGATGGGAGAGAACCTAATTTCAGTGCCTACTGCTAGGGCACTCTCCATACTTGCCACTCAATTCTGGACATGGGAGCCCTTCCCCTACTCCAGGGCAAGTTCTCCAATCTCTGACCTTAGATGAAAATGCCTGCATGACTGCCACTGCCAGGTCTCCAAGTGATGACTGTCTGTATATGAACCTGAATTAAAAATGGCATCCTTTTCTCAGTCTCAGGTCTTCGAGAATGCCTGCTGCTTTTCCTGATGTCTTTCCCTCTCTTCATCTCTCACCCTTTCCCCAAGTTAGCTCCAGAAATTGGGAGAAACAGGGTGCTCTCCCTTGGCCTGGGTTGTATAGAACCTTAGTGAAAAGGTGAGTCACAGAGGGTAACTGACAGTTCGTCTCACATACCGGGGCTTCACTCATTTTTATCAGCCAAATGTTATCATGGGGTTGCTTGCCCACTTTATCCTACCCAGGGTCTTGGGTGTTCTTTGCTATTTCAGTGAATTCCCATTTTCTTTCCTGAATCAAAGTTCATAGAGTTGATCTTTATGTACTATTTTGATATTTCCAAGTGGCTGAGGCATGCTGAAAGCCTCTAATCCACAGTCTTGGAAAAACTGACTCTCCTATTAATATTTTAAAAATTCTCAGTCACTATATTTTTGATTATGCCTCCTTTATTCTTTTTATCATATATTCTTGGAATTCTGATTAAATATTTGTTACATTTCCCATTCTCAATTTATTTTTCTTAACCTCCCTCTCAGAGTTCCACCTTTTGTCTCTCTCTGTGCTGTATTCTCATTAATGTGTTGGAATATGTCTTCCAGTTCACACACTTTATTTTTTGGTTTGCATAATGTGCTATTTAATCTATTATGGTTTTAATTTAAATTAGTATACTTTTCACTGCTAAAATTTCTGATACCTTTTTAGTTCTCTTTGGTTACTTTTCACAGTTTGTTGTTTGTATTTGTTTTGTATTGTTGCTTTAACAAATTCTACAAATATATAGGCTGAAAATAAAACTCATTATTATCTTAAAGTTCTGTAGATTTGAAGTTCAGAACAAGTTTCATGGGACTAAAATTATAGTGTCTTCAGGGCTTCATTTCTTATTGGAGACTCTTAGGTTGAATCTGCTCCCAGGCTCATGAAGGTTGTTGGCAGAATTCAGTCACATGCAACTGTAGGAGTGAGGTCCCTGTCTCCTTGCTGGGTTTCAGCTAGGGGTCATTCTCAACTTCTAGAGGCTTCCTGCACACCCTGGCTTGCAGTCCCTTTTATCTTCAAAGCCAGCAATTGTGGTTTGAGCCTTCTTATGCATCACATCTCTCTGACTTCTCATTGTGTTTCATCTTGCCCATCTGACTCTTCTGTCATCTTCATTTGCTTTTAAGTGCTCATTTGGTCACATTGTGCACACCTGTATAATTTAGGATAATCTCTCTATTTTAATGTTAGCTGATTAGTAACCTTAATCACATCGGTAAAGTCCCTTTACAGCGGTATGTATGTTAGTGTTTGATTGAATAACCACTAGACAGAAATCTTAGGGGTACATTTTTAGAATTCTGTTTACCATATGTATGTTTCCAAACATTATACATCCTCATTTTATATTCTATGTTTGATAATTTTAGTATCTGTTGCCCTTGTAACTTGGATCTCTTTCTTTTGGTTATCTTGGCTCCTGCACATTGTGCATTATGTTCTGATATAATTTGTAAGTTTTGATTAAAATTTCACATGAAGTTTAGCCTTAGTAGTTTTTTAAGCCCCTGATTGAAAAAGGTCATCCTTCTTTTCCCAGGTACTTGAGAATACTACCAACTCAAAATTGTTTTAAAATAGGGTTTCAGATTAAGTCCAACTCTTTCCCCTGCTCTGTTACCTGCCCTGCCCCCAACACACACATTGGTATTGAGACTTTAGGCTTCCTCCACCTAGTGTGTAAACCAAAATATGAAAGTTCTCCTGATATTTTCCTCCATGTGGTGAGATTTTTCCCTAACTCACACTCTCACTAAGAATATAGTCCTTTGGGATCCTAACCCTACATTGGTTTCCATCCACCCTTAACTTGGTTAGACCCTAGCTTTGTCTTCTATGCCTATGAACCCATTAAGCGATCTCTAGGGATCAGCAGTTACCACCTTCAGTTCTTGCTTAAATCTCTGGATTCTTGTTTGTGCTTCATCTTTCTCTTCTGAGGACTTCCAATTTTTCTTGTAGACACAACTGTGTTATCCAGTATTTCTTATTGTTTAGCTTCAGAAAGATCCACCCTGTATCTGTACCACTATACTATCAGTAAGAAACTTCCCTTTATTTCTTTTTTAAAACCCTGTTTTTTTTCTTTCCAGACAAATATAGATTCCCATATTTGGAAAAACCTTTTAATTTCTGCCTCCTTTATATGTTATTTTTACTGTTTACTTCTTGATTAATATGGTCTTCCCTCTATAATGGGGGCCTGGGATTTTGGTATTGCATTCCCAAAACTTACCTAGTAAGTTTTACTGAACAATTTGATTCATCTAGAAATAACATGATTAATACTGCCCTGGAGTAATAATTTTAACTATTTCATTTTTTAGATTATGCTAGAATAATAAAACTGACACAGTTTGTTCAGCTTTACTCTAGCATTCCTAATCCAATCCTTCCCCTACTAAAATTTTTAAAAAACATTTCATTTGGTAAAATCCACATACTCAAGCAAAAATAAAATTCATTAACTAAACCAATAAAATTTTAGAACAGAAATGCCATCACAAAGACTCTTATATTTAGCCATGATAGAGATACAGTAATATATCTAATACTCTTTGACACATAATAATACATGGTACACATGTCAAGATACAATCAACGTGCCATGATATCATTTTGTCAGTATTTGCTAATAATATTCATTAGTACTACTGTCTAAAATTATGTACCTCCCGGGCTGGAAAAAGAAAGCTTTGGACACCATGGTGAAAATATTGCACACATCTGAGAGAAAAGAATTCTGAACTGTAGAGATGCTGACTTGTACAGCAGCAGTTGAGGTGAGTGAAAGATATACATATGCCAGTGCAGCCTTCCAAATGCCTGTATGAACAGACAGTAAGTAGGCACTTAGTACAATTGCTGCTATTATCTAGACAAGATCCAATCCTAAGGAAGATGTTGAAATTCAAACTGACAAAGATTTCTAGTTAACCTCTAAGTAATGATTAAGATAATGACAAAAACACTATCTACCATAGAGTGGCAGGACAAAGGATTTTTGATCATCTGTTTAGAATTGCTTCTGGAAACTTTCAAAGACAGTATGCAACTCTCAAAGTAAAAGAACTTGACAACTTTAATGTAAATGGAACAAATGTGAAATGGGTCATTTAAGTTATTTTTGATATGTCAAACATAAAGCTGTGGTAAGAGAACTATACCACTCAATTGAACAAATTTTCACTAAGTATTATTTTTCATATACTCAGCTGGCAGCTGTTGGAAGTAATTCATTAAAGTTATCCAAGCTGAAATGTTTACATTATTTTATTGAGACCAAAACTTACTCATTATAATTTGAAAAGTCATTTTATTTTTTCATAATAAAAATGCATCCATGATCTGACACAATTCAGCAGTGATAAATTGAATGACTAGAAAAAAGCAGAAATGTAATAAATACTAAAGATTATAAATACATGTGTAAAATATGATAAAGGAACAAGTGAATAGAATAAACATAGAAGAGTTATACAAAGCAGCAATATTATAATTTAAGCTTTACATGGACAAATTTTTCTTCGAAAAAATGATTGATTTTTTGCATTGGCCCATTAATAAATATAGATACATAATGAACATGGACAATTAATAATGTATATGTTAAAAAGAAATATTATTTTAAAAACCCTCTTTACTATATTTAGTTTCAAGAATAAGTTTGTAAATAATCTTATTTGAATAAAAAATGACAAGGTCAGTAACATCTAGAAAGTGCCAATGAAGATTAAAAATAGCAAAGGTTTATTTTTTGCTTTGTCTTTCGTTGTATTTTTAGTGTGAGAATTGCTATGATATAACATCTGCATCTTTTGCTAACTGTGCACATTACTCTGTTTTTGATCATTTTTCCTTTAGGTGAATTTTGGAATGCCAATAGCACTTACTATTTTAAAAATTTATTTATTGATATAGAATATTTGTACATATTTTGGGGGTGTATATGATATTTTGAAACCTGTATACAATGTGTAATGGTCACATCAGGGTAATTGGAAACTCACTCTTTTTCACATTCTGACTTCTAGAAGACTATTCTTATCCTACTTTTGTTTAAATGTTTAGTTTTTTTCTTTTTGATTTGCTCTTAAATGATTTATTTTTCTCTTTTGTAATATGTCAGCAGTTTTCATTCTTATTCTTTTTTTCCTTATTTTTTTCCTTTTTTCATTGCACTGTTTACATAATGGAGTTATGTGATTTTTCTATGTCTGTATACACAGTGATAATTTATTTAGATTTCTACATCTCTTTATTTTTAACATATGATATTATGCATTTCTGAACTAAGATAAACACTTAAGCAAAGTTGTTACTCATATACAAAACTGTGTTAATAGTTTTATAGTGTTTAGTTTTCCTTTCTAACAATACTGTATTAATAGTGCAAATCATAGCAAGACTTATCCATAGCTCTACAAAATGAATTTCTCAGTGTGCCAATATCATAAAAGTATGAATTATATTACTCTAACTGTAGAGTTCAGTAGAAATAAATCTTATCTATAAGTTTTCTGTTATTTAGTATATTCAGCCATAATTTTGGAATTACTGCTTCAATCTCAACTTTCATATTACATGTATATATTAAGAATAATCCAATTGGATTTTTTAAATGAGGAAGTGCACATATCATTTAGATTAAACTTTTCTCTGTGTCACCAGATGACCATGGCTTTGATTTCTCAGCAAATTCTCTTGAACAACACTGCAGAAATGATTTATCCAAGTACCGAATTAACTTGTATATCTTATTTTCTATTTTTAGTTTCATAGGAAGTTTCTGAAATAATAAATTGCATTTAAAATGTTACATTGAATTCCAGCTGTAAGATGAAACAAATGCTCTAATCTCTTTAAAGGTCAAGTTATAAATTATTCTTATGATGAAGCAAGTTGCAGATGGTTCATGAGCAAAATCTCAAACGTGGGCTTCTTGATGAAGGCACATAGATGGTCTTTAGTTGCACCGCAATAACAAATATTGACTCTGAGTTATAACAGCAGGTTTCCGGTATTCATGGGAATTGCAGCAGCTATACCATAACTGATTTAAATTTGTGTCATTAGTTATTTACAGCCACATTTTACAGTCAATTATTAATGCCTTCCAGAAACTACCACAAGATAGTCAGAACTTTTGTGCTTATTATGGCATGGTCTCATTACTCATAGCAGGAGCCCACGAAGGGTAAGTGTAGAGGTCAAACATGGGTACAATCCAGGTATAAATGCCAAGCATAACCACAGCAACACCAACAATGTTGACACCAAGTCCAGCTTTAACCTTGAACAGGAAAAAGCATAAATGTCAGTGTCCCAAAAGAAAGCCTACAGGAGATTAGAATCCTGTTGTAGGAAGTATATGCTGGATTTACATGCATCCTAAATGATTAGTAAAAATTGCCATTTTTTTAAAATTGTACTTTAAGTTCTAGGGTACATGTGCACAACGTGCAGGTTTGTTACATAGGTATACATGTGCCTTGTTGGTGTGTTGCACCCATTAACTCATCATTTCTTAAATCCAGGGGTTCTTCCCCATTCATAGCAAGAGAAAAATCTGTCCCTAACTAAACATCACTGAGTTGAAGACTCTCAGAGAAGTTCCTCTTAGGAATATACCTAAGTAATTCTGATTAGAGGAAAATCGCTTAGAAATCTGCCATTTCATGTTAAATCAGAATTTCAGTTTTGTGGTTTTATATTTCAATGAATAAGATTCAGGACACCATATGACAACTGTATCTTTTATATTTGCTCAACATGATTATTAATTTAACCTTAATATCTTTCTTAGCATTCTCATGGTTTTAGCTCTTATATCATTATTCTACAGTCCATTAAACAATCTCAGAGTTGCTTTGTATCTATTAAAATAAAAATTGGCAAACTACTGCCCTTGATTTGTTTTGGTAAATAAAGTTTTATTGAACCACAACTATGCTTATTTGTTTACATATTTTCTTTGCTTTCATGATACAATGGCAGAGTTGAGTAGTTGTGACAGAGATGGCCCCACAGAGCCTCCAATATCATCTGCCCTTTTACAGAGAGAATGTGCTTACTCCTGCATTCTCTGCATTAAAACATGGAACTCTGAAGCAAAAGAGGAATACCGAGCAAGGATGATAACAGATGCCCTCTTCCCTGTCCATGTAAGCCAGCCACTTGTTTATCTCAGAATCCTAGTTTTATCCTTTTTAATACACATACATCAGGCATTACTTATATTGTATTGTGCACATTTTCCTTACCAAATGGATATTATGTTATTTTTGTGTACAGGCAGTTCTAGAATGTTTATGTTGCAGGGGCTTAGGAACAGCAGTCTGTGTGAAAGAAAGGGAGCTGGGATTTGCCTTGAGACTGTATTTTGCATAGGAAGCTCACTGAATTTACTTTGGCTATATTATCGTTTGGGTTGGTTTGGAAATAGGTGATGAAGATGTGGAAACTACTAGAATATTCTCAAGCCAGTTCTTATAAAGTACTGAATATTCTGCAAGTATTTTTGTATTTGGCAAAAATGTGCATGCTTTATCAGTGAAATTCTTCATTATTGTTTGCTTGTGTTTTCATGTTAGGTCCTGGTATTGAAATCAAAACAAGAAAGATACTTTTTCATCAGTCAGGCACTGACCCCGTGTCTCATTCAGAGGAAATGTTGGTCGCATAAATGTTTGTGATAGCAAACTACAGTGTTGTTTTGGTTGCTGGATTTCTTTAACCCTGTTTCTTCCTTTTGCCTAGATCAGTTTGGATCCTAGTGTTGACTTGTAAGTTTACGCTGTCGTGTGGAGTATGTTCAGTGCTCTTTTCCTTCTTCCAAAGCATTACTGATGCATTCAACATCTCTCTGTTTGTGACCATAAATTTTAATGGCATGTTCACTTCTGATTATCATTCTTGAAAACAATTCTATGATTAGTCATGCACACCCCTTCATAAACAGAACTCAGGCCATGCTTTTTCTGGTGGTTGACTGGTGTTTAAAAGAGAAGATAACTCAAGACATGGCACACACCAAGATGTGTGTTGGTTCTGATAGTATTTTTTCAGCTAACTCACCATGTCAATGACTTTCAGATGACCATATGAAAAGACAATAGCATTGGGTGGATTTGCTACTGGTAGGAGGAATGCAAACGAAGTACACAGAGTAGAAGGTATCAGAATATAAAGAGGGTTCACGTGAATGGCTTCAGCCTGTTGTAAGAGATAAAAAGGAGTCTAAGTAAAATTTTGAAGGTAGACACCAAACATAAAAAAATGAACAAATGTATTACAATAAGCCTTCCCAGAAGCAGGTTGAAACATAATGACATAAAATTATACACATTATTACAGTTATAACTTGAAGAATATTTTTAAGAAAATACCTCATCCTCTTATTGTTTGTATAGTTATGGATGCCCACTTAAACATTATAGTCCAGTTCATTTAGAAAATAAAATATTATTTATTCCAGAAACTAAATAAAAAGAGCAATCATTTATTACTTATCTACTGCTAGGTGCTGTGCTAAATGTTTATATACATGTATATATTCATATAGTTACACATAATATAGTTCATATATAACACAAAATATAATAAATGTCATATATATTCAATTTTTACAATGATCTTATGAGATGGTTACTATAACCTCAAATAACATAAAGAAATGGAGGCCCAGAGAGGCTAAAGTAACTTGTCCGAGCATGCAGCTGGTGAGCAACAGAGCTCAAATAGGTTCTCAAGTCCCTGTGGCTCTAGCACTTCTCATTACATTACTAACTTTACTGCCTCTGTGATATATGCAGTTCAAGATTTGCTTAGGGATCATCACATAGGAAGGTTACTACCATTCTTAAACCAACACATAATTTTCTAATTCTTCCATGTTAAGAACAATTAGAAAAAACAACAGAAAAAAATACAAAATGATATTGTACCAATATTCACAGCCTACATGTTTTCTACTTTCAATCTGCAGCTTAAGAACACCAACATATGCCCTTTGAACTTGTAGTGGCACAATTCCAGAAAGACAATCCTTCTTAATTTAAAGTGCTTTCCTTTCACCAAACCCATCCATCCCAATAAGAAAAACATTTTACTTAAAGCTGTTTCTTGTAATTGCTAACTAAACGGAGAAAAGAAGAAAAGACATTCTTTCCCTCTCTCTCTCTCTCTCTCTCGGCAAACCCCTTACTTTTTAAAAAATTACTCCCTGGGCAGTAGAAAACTGTGTCTAAAGATATTTAAGCCTGAAGCCTGAAGTGTGAGCCTAGTTTTTCATTCATTTGCAAATCACTTATATTAACCACTTCTCAGAAATTTAGGAACAATGTTTGAGAGGCAAAAGTGTCAGTGGTAGAGATCTAAATACTTAAGTTACCAGCAAACACTGAATTCCACGTCTTATATCTGAAATGGATCTCATCTGACCCTCTCTCTTATTTATAAAGGAAAAAGCTGGACTGAGAAAAAGTAACATCACGCTGCTTGAACATGAAAACTTAAAAACAGTTACCTAGAGTGAAGGTCCTCTGAAAACATTAATACAAATAAAGATCACCCTATAAGTTACTTACAGGAGGCCCATTTAGATAAAAAAAAGATTCCATATCACAGCATGAGAACCAGCATTCCAAAGCAGAACATTGCTCTTAATGAAGAGTAAAAATGGGGATAAATGAGATACTCACCAATGGAGATAATATTGGGAGAAGGAGTGTAATGGTAGCTGGATTGCTGGCTACCTCAGTTAAAGATGTGACCATCAAAGAAGATATCAGAATTATTAGCCATACTGGTAATGAACCCAGAGGAGATAATTTATTTGCTATCCAATTAGATAATCCAGACTCCTAAAAAACAAATTTGCAATATTTGTTATTCATGAATAATTCTTTGTAATCAGACACAATAAAATCCATAAAAAGCATTATTTGCTTTGAAAACTCACTTTCTAAAATATAATTTTAATCTCTCATTTTTCTGTGGTTTGATAGGTCTGGGTGGCTTTGGTAGGAAGGAGCTATTGCTTAGTCTTATTTTAATACTGTGAACATGGTTTAGGTTTGAAATGTATTCCCACTCTTTTCAATTACATTTTAATTTTATCTAATTTATATATGTGGATATTTTAATAGATCATATAGAGGGCTTTAAGAGAAGAGCAGGCCTTCTGATTTACCTCTCTCTATTCCTAAGTTATATTCTGCAGAGGTGATAACTTTCAACCCTTATTAGCCATTTATAACTAGCTATATTTAGGTATTCATAGTTACCTTTTAGAATAATATTTTAATTATGATTTTTTGCTTACTTTTAAAATTTAGACATTATTTACTGACTTTCTAATATGTGGTAATTCAGCTCTCTTACACCATCCAGCAAACACATATTTTTTGTTTCTTCATTCCTCCATACTCACATATTAACATTTTTTAGTTAAATCAATATTTAATGTTTACCACTATGATTAAATAAATATTGTTCATAGCTATACCACTTAGCATACTATCAGTACATTTACTCTACTCTTCCTTCCCCACAAGAAATAACTATCTCATCATTCTGTTTGCTTAGTTTTCCAAGTACTTATCACTAATTCATCTGAAATTAAAACAAAAAACTCCCCACAAATAGATAAACATATCAGGTAATTGGTGTCTTTTCATGTTCCCTCATAGCAATATCTATTCTGGAATATTTCCTCCTCCTGCTCCATTTGGCTTAGTTTAATCTTTAAATCTATTCTTTAAATCCCTTTAAATCTATTCTTTAAATCCCTTTAAATCTATTCAACTGTTGTTGTTCTGGGACCCCTCTTTATTATCATATTATGACTTTCCTTCTCCTCCCCACTTTGTGGGAATCATTTTTTAATCTACTCTTTTGCATTGGGGAAGCACTTCCTTTTATAACTTCCTGAGAATTGGTATAAGAGTCTTTGCATGCCTGAAAACCTTTTGCTTTTCTTTTCCCACTGTTCTTATTGTTTTGCATTTGTAGAATTCTAGGTTCAAAATAATTATAACTCCACACTTTTAAGCCATTTCTCCATTTCCCGTGGTTTCCAGTTGGATTCTTTAGAAGCCTGATCATATTCTACTCTTTGATTCATTATACATAGTGCAGAAAAACTGGCTATACTCAGATTAGCAAGTATGTTGGTCTGTGTTTTTCCCTACATAGAAGGGAAAATCCTCCTTTTGTGAAATTTCAATGAGCTATTGCATGTATGAATCTTTATGACAACTAGAAGTGGCATGAGAAATACTCTAATTACAAGCAGTATATTCTCAGATCAAAAGCTGGCACAGAAATTCCCAGATATGAGTACCAGATATCATGCATGGTTTTGGCTTGTATTTTTGTTTATCTGCTTGTTTTTGCCTATGACTTTTGGGTAGAAAAAGATTATCCACCATTTAATCACACTGACAAAAATTAATCCTAGAATAGGTATACTTTAAGAATAGGTTTTATCTATGTCTAATGAGATGTGGAAATGATTATACTACATATTGTTTCCCCTACCTGTAGGCCACTGAAATCGTATCTTCATCCCCACGGTTCCAAAATTTTACATAAAGTGCTTTGGTGTTGAGTACTTAGTAGCTCTCTCAGTCCAGAATCTCAAAGTCTCTAGCTCTAAGAAATTTCTTTTGTTATTTTGTGGAAATGTTCTTCCTTTCTATTTTTCTCTCTTTTTTCTGAAATGCCTATTAGTTGACTGTTGAACATTTTGGATTGATGTTCTAATGTTCATATCTCTTTGTGAGCCAGTGTCTCATTGACTCAATTTTGCTACAAAGTAAATCTCAATTTTCTATCAGGGAGGATAGAGAACAACAGCAGGGCTGGGGAAAGTATCTGGGAGGCCCATAGATTCTTATACACTTTTTAAACCATCCTCCAAATTCAGCTCTGGCTTTTACTCTAGCTTTCAGAGTTATCTGCTGCCTCCAATTCCTGAGGTCTGCCAGGATGCTACAGATAACCAGCATGTTTCTTGTTGGCTCTTCGTTTTGCCAGCCTGTATGTTTCATATTTCACTATTTTTCTATTTGTACAAAGTCAGTTCCTCTCAAATGTCCTCTTTTCATGTTCTAAATATGATCAACATTTCTTGCCTTTTCTTGTCCCTGTCATATAGTCTTTATGGATTGACATGTTTTTGTTGTTATTGCAATTTTAGCAGAGATCTGAAATAAAAAATAAATCCTTCATGTTTAACCTAGGAGAGAAAATTTTAGGAATGTATGAAAATTGAAGAGAAGATATTCACTGATAAGAATTTGAAATTGTCTATCTGCTCTTGAGAAAGAAATCATGTTAAAACAAAAACCAAGGGGCATTTAAGAAAGTAATTTCAATGAGGTGAATTCCACAGTAGTTGCTGTTTCACTGTTCTGTTCCCAACTAGAAAGGTTATCTGGTTCTGGACACTTGCCAGACTAATTACAATTTGGAATAAAAGTTTTGAAAAATAATTGCCTCCAAATTTTTTACAGTCCAGTTTTTAGGGGGATATTTGTCCACAGCCATACCCTTGAAGCTCATGGCTTCAATCTGGCCACTTAGAGGTAGAGTTATACTGGGTATCCTGTAGACATTTGGCTCTGTATATGGAGATTTTTATAGCAAACTAGACCTCCCTCTCTGGGTTCTCAAATTCTTCTACTGAGAGAACCTTGTGCATCAGACTCAGTCCACACCTTTTCATTTCCTCAGATTTGTATGCTAGGGTCTGGCTGATGCTTTCAAAATCACTTTGAGTGTCTAGGATCCAATCCAGACATATAATTCTGTGCTGAAAAATTGTCAATAAAGTTAGAAGCAAAGGAATATTTTCCAGTAAGTTACTGCTCTTCTTCAGGAAGAAGAGGAGAGACAGTGATTTGTCTTGAGAAGCATAGAAATTTAACCTCCTGGAAGTCAAAGGGCTGAACATGGAATCTCTCTTACCATTCTGTTCAATTTGATGACTGAGGAAGGAAATGGAAGAGCCATAAGCTTTGAATATTTCAAATAAGTCTATGGAAACCAGAATGAGTGGTTTTTAATTAATCTAGGAGTAATCAATTTTCATGGAATTTTTGGAGAAGATAATTTTCTTCCAACAACTCTACAAAGACCAGGGCAATTACAAGGGATGAGGGCCTTCTCAAACTGTTGCTTTGTATCAACTGCATAGATAGGTCAAATAAAGTCAACCAACATCTCATGGTGTTTTTATTTCTTCCTAAGATTAGATGTAATATAATGTTAGAAAGGGTTATGTGAATTTTTCTCCAGACTTTATTCAATAAACATTTACTAAGTATCTTTAATGCTAATATTATTTCTTATTCTCTTTTTTATTTAACAGCAAATAGCATCATGATATACTGAAGTCCAAGAGCTACTCAAATTCATCATGAAATAAGGTAAAGGCATAAGCAAACAAAAAGTATATTTCACTAGGAGTCACTTTACATATTTTCATATACATTTTTCCTTACTAGTCTTCTAATACTATTTCATGAATTTAAAATTTTAATCTTTTTTTATTATTTCTTTTGACATTCTTGAGCACCATAAAAACTATGTTTTTTGCTTGCAACCTGTAACATTTCTTGAACTCTGAACTCACCTCATTTGTGTGGTATATTCACGGCATAGCTAGCAAAATTTGCAACATTAAAATGACAGAGTGAAATTGAATATGCCCAAAGATTGAATGTCTCTGTGCTCTTCTTTTGAACAGTCTAGTTAACTGTTAAATATCTTACACACAGAGTATTACCTCACAGCCATCTGCCAGGGCAAACCCTCCACCAACAAGAATGGCTATATCCCAGGGCATGAATGACTGGAATTCTTTCCAAGTAATCAGTGGAGAGTAATCAAAAGCAACTGCAAAACAAAAATCCTACAGTTACACATTGCTTAAAATATTACAATATGACATTTACTTCAGCATCCTAAGTAGCCATCTTACAGGAAGTTTGTAATATTCCTATATTGTTTTTAAAGAGGGGAATTAATCTGGAGTTTGAGTAATTTCCACCTGGACTAGATGGAACATTCTACTATAAAAAAGAAAAAAAACTCTATAACTTAGAAAAATTCTTCTCGTAATATTATAGAATATATTTCAATAAATTATAACATTGTCACTTATCATTGTACTCATTCATTCACTCACTCATTCATTTATTCATTCCACTAACATCTTTGCCAACTGTGAATAGCACAGTGTATTAGACTATAGTATTCTTTGCTATGCAAAATGTCCATAATATTCCATTGGTTCTAAGAGCATCTTGTAGCATTTTAATTATATCCATTAATATTTGAACATTTTATTAGATTTTTAGTCATAAGGAGGATCATGATAGATTCACCAAGATTTCAGTTTAAAAATAATTCAGGATTCAGATTAAATAAAGTATTATTTGTGAGGTCCTTAAAGTGCTTACAAAAGGATTATCATAAAGATTTCTCTTTTGGCTTCTGACCTCTCCATTGCTTTGTTGATAAATAAGTTCATTTGAGGACATATTCTGCCCATTTAACATGTGTATAACAGGCAGCCTTCTACATGTTAAGATTTTAAGTTTACTAATCAGCTTCTTTCCTATCACCTTCCCCCAATTCCAAACCTAACCCATCCTCACTGATGACTGAAATTATGTCACCAGGTTTCTTACTGTAAGGTCATATATCTTGTTAAAATGTAAACATCTCTGAAATGTACCTCTTATTTAAAATTTAACATATTATGTATTATTTGTCATTTTTAAGTCTTGTATGAATGAGTTTAGCAGGGAGAAGAGGTTTTGAAGAATGAGAGGAGAGAGAAAGGTGGGTAGCAGCAAGTCTCTTTCTAAGGGAGGGAATTCAGATGTGGAAACCAGGGAAGCTAAAGCCAAACATGGATTCCTCAGACTTGCCACCACCGGACCTCAGGGCTTTAACTGCAATGGTCAGAGTCCTTGGGGTCTCATAGGAATCAATGCTCCATATTGCATCACCTCCTTAACACATGCTGAGATATTCTAATCTCAAGTGAAAAACAAAATACATTTGTTTCTTTGCTGTGCTGGTCACATATGTCCTGGAAATCTGATACATTAGTCATTTATGGATTCTGACAAGAGACAGGTGGGTCAACACAACTACATAAATCCCAGTTCCATCCCCATAAGAACAAACAAAACCACAAGTCTACTAGTTTATTTCCAGACAATTACAAATTAGTTGTCCCACCTTGACAAGATAGGAATCTGACTACTCAAAACATGCTGTGTTGTAAAGCAAAGACATGGATGAATCCTGTGTTTAAAAAGTGAGTGTGTGTGTGTGTGTGTGTGTGTGTTGAGAGGATGGTATGCTCAGGCAGATGTGCACACTTCTTTGTTCATGTGTTGTAAATACAATGAATGCTGTTGCGGAATACCTTTTCTTTATTTTTATTACTATCATTATTTTTAGAGACCGAGCCTCCCTCTGTTGCCCAGAGCAGTGGCACAACCATAGCTCACTACAGCCTCCAACTCCTGGGCTCAAGTGATCCTCCTGCATTGGCCTCCAGAGTAGCTAGGACTACAGGTGTGTGCCCCCACACCTGGCTAATTTTTTAAATTTTTTCGAAGAGCTGGGGTCTCACCATGCTGCCGAGGCTTGTTTCAAACTACTGGCCTCAAGTGATCCTCCTGCCTCAGTCTCCCAAAGTGCTGTGATTGCAGGTGTGAGCCACCACACGAGGCCCTTTTATTTCAGCTGTGATCCTAGGATATGGCTGTATGAGGTTGATTTAGCTTTTGTTCCAGAACTACTTTGAGAATGTAAATAATCTTTCTCTTGAAATTCATCACCTTTTTAGAACCTGTGCATTCATTACCAAGGTATGAAGCAGTGTCTTCCAATTTCTTTTTCCTATGTTTGCCAATAGTAAGATTAATTTTGAAATGGGTTTACCATGGGTCAAATAGTATCGTTTGTAGCAGAGCCCTAGCCATGATACAAAAGGAAATCTACTTCTCATTTTTGCAAAGTAAGATGATCTGTCTTGCAGGTGGAAGACGTGCTGGCTTGAAGATAGCATTGCAGTTTGCAAATAGGGCATGCTAGGCCAGGGGTTGTGCCAGCATAGACTTTCTTTCTGCTCTAGGTGCCAAGCGAAACCAATGGAATTTTATAATTTTTGCTCTTCTGTTAAATTTATGCAGAATTATAAATGATACTCAACCAATTTCTCCTGTAGGTGTAGTTTTTGTCAATCTCTTAGCTGGAATGAGAAAGAATAGCAGCCCTATAAGTAAAGCAACAGTTGAATCTGTAGCAAAACCAGGGTACCTGTAAAAGGGACAAATACGTATATTAAAAATAGCATCAAGAATTTAAATGAGCTAAAACACCAATTTTGCTAATAACATATCAGTAGTAGGTTATTATCAGTATTAGGTGGTGTAGGTTATTTATTCTCGATAATCTGCCCTAAAATATATGGATTCCCAATTAAATGACATAACACTAAAAACAATAATCTCAGACCATAGTCCTATTGTTCCCATATGTCTCTTCTTATTTTCAATACCATGTATACACATACTGATATACTAGGCCAAAGTGGCAAATTTCCCTTTTAGATAAGCTTACAATTTGTTAAACAATTTCTTCTTTGAATTATTTAATTTAATTATATTGATCAAGATTTGAAGTTGAAACATTGCTAGAGCAGAGAAAGCCCCATGTAATTGATTTATAGCATCCTTCTATTAAATTGTGGCAAGGCATGATGTTTCTGTGATCCCCTAAAACTCTTCTATAAATTGTGAAAAGGAATTGATCTGTTTTCTGAGATATCACACCTGCTTCTGTGGTTATAGGCTCTAACTATATCATACAAACGAAAACAACGTACTTAATGCTTTGTACAACATGAAATTCAATCAAGAATATTAATTGTTGGAGTGGTTTAGCCAATGCTCACAAATGATCACCGTATAAATTAAGACTGATTCAGGAACAGATGGGGTCTTAGAATCACCAGACCGTTGTAACAAATAAGACAGGTTCCCAGAAGTCTCAACAGTAAAGAACCTGGAGACCAGGTGTAACTGAAACAGGTATTAATAATTATAATTTAGTTTTAAAAGTCAGCAATATTAACTAGTGCATTTCTGTAGCCTGAGAAGAAATATGTACCATGCTAAAGATTCTTTTACTATCTTGTAACTCAGTAATGTGTACACACTACAGAAGCTTCTCTACTTCTATAATTTACTTGAAAAATCCAAAAAGCCAAACAAATGCTGTATCTTTCTCAATCTAGCAATTTTTAAAGCAGTCTACTTTCTTTAAGTATAGACACATTTTCTTTCATTATTGGTTAAAAATCTACCTTACCATAATTTATCCTACAAACTGGACCGATACTTATAATTTTATTATACCTTGTTTCTTTTATTTCAGTATAATTTTTGGTTGAATGTTTGGCAAATTGGGCCAGGCATCATGTAACCAGATTTTGTTTTATATAAAAAGACACATTGAATTCAGTCCAGGTACAAACAGATGGAATGAAAACATTAGGTGGTAGCTATAAATCTTGATATATCATGTTAGCTTTAGAAATTCTTAATGCCTGAAACTCTACATAACAAATATATCCTACAAAATATATACATTAAATTAAATCAAGGCATAAATACTGAAATAATTTATTTTCAAAGTACTTTAAAAATTATTCTTATCATATTATAACTTATATTTAGTTTGTCAGGAAAGCAGTTAGTTTGTCTCAGCATTAGAAACTATTAAGCTTATGCAAATTTTATTTGTTTTGGGTTTGTCAATTAGATTTATATTTTAAAATCTCATCCTCTCTCAAACCTTTGTTCCTTTCCTATTGTTTTCTCTCAGAATTGTAGGTGGCATGAGTGCCTGCTCATAGCCAATACACTGCTTTCCTTCTACAAACAAAACATCTCCTGTTTCCTCCTATAAGAAACAGAAATTAGAAGCTGATTATATTGAATTTCCTATTGGGATTTCTGCCTGGGCTTTATTAACTATCATCTGATTTCATTTAATTCTTACACACTGGTGTTTAGATAAAGACTCTCCCCGTCTAGGATGACAGAAGGTGGATTTTAAAAGGGGAAAGCATTATTTTTTATATTGATCTAGATCCTACCATAAAACCACAAAGTACTAATTAAACATTACATAATAATTTGATTTAAATAATTGGATATCTAAACCTCTCAAAAAGAGAAGTTTTATTTCTAAGGGAATCAAACAGTTTATAAAAATGAAGCCGATCCTTTAAAACATACCACCATATTGCATTGCTTCCCTTGTGTGGTCATTAGGAATTTGGATTCAGACTTCGCACCCTTTAGAAACATTGGCAATGCCTATAAAACTAGAAGGTTCTGATTCAAGGAGGGAAGAATTTCTTTATTCTATGTGGGCAAAATACATATGACCTAAACAATTTTGGTTTATACCCCAAAATACAAAAAAAAAAAAATTATTTTTTGCTGGGGAATGTGAGATAGGAAGTTCAAGTAAGACATGTACTGAATTTGGAAATTAGAGTAGTTCAGTGAAAGATTGAGAACACAAATCTCACAACCAAATTATTTATTTTGACATGTAGGATGGTCCTGAATTTAGAAAATTATGCTATACTCTTCCCCCTCACTTTACACGACTCAGCAATTGACTACTGGTGTATAAGACACTGAGATATAAAATTAACTCTGACCTAGCTTCTAGCATCAGCTTTTAAAATCAGTCTTATTATTTCTTCAGAAATTCCTTATCTATGAAATGGGGGCTGGGCTGAACTTATAGTGAACCAGTGCAAAAATGTAAATAAGTGAAGAAAAAGACAAGATATTAAACCAAACAAATAGTCCTCCATAGAATTAAAAAACAAAGTGGGTAAAAATCACATAATATAAATTTATATCAGATTATTAAGAGGCATTGAGTGGTACTTATTTCACATAATAACATTAGTATAGCACTTCCTATAGGGAGAAGGCCAGCACTATTCTAAATGCTATAATTATCTCCATCTTACAGATGAAGACACTGAGAATTAAGTGACTTGTCTAAAGTAAGTGGATGAATCAGGAATGGAACCCAAGCAGTGTGGCTCTGAAATCTATGCTCCCTACCACCACAGAACATAGCCTTTCTGCATATTAGATTTCTAATTTTGTAGGGATGGGAATAATTTTGTCTAATGGACTTTGCCTTTTAGTAACAGAGTAAGTAGTATGGTTATGCTTCCTGTGCTCTTATCCTAGATCTCATTCCTTATAATTTTTTTCCTGAAAATATTAGAATTTAAAATATCTTTTCAAGGGAAAGAAAGAAAAATATCTCATCCAATCTTTCAGAATTACAGGAACCACATAGGAGAGAAGCAGAGTATAAAACAGGAGGGGCTGACAAATATAGCATGCAAAACTTACTCTGAAAAAAGTGCAGACCAACCAGGAACAAATCCAGGATCTCTACTAAACCATAGCAGAGCCATTAGAATGAAGAGCACCAAGGTCACAATTTCTTGATACCTGTGGAAAAATTCCAACGGCATCATTTCTTATTTTCTAAGTCAGGACATTTGTAGAAACTCCTTGGGCTATTGTCAGGAGTGAGCTCAGTAGAACACTAAACACTGTAAGAACTAGATGTGTCAATAATTTGAGAGCATCAGTGCAGTTTGAAAAAGCCCTTACTCCTCTTTGGGGTCTTTCAGCTTCTTTTCATTTTACCTGGCAAATTTTAGTTAGCAGGGTATGTGTTTTATCATGTTGAGTTATAGTCTGTAATCTCCATAGCTTAGCAAATTTGGGGCCCTAATCAAGTGTTATAAATATCTTGCAAGCAATTATGTGCTTGTTTGCTTTTCAACAGCTACTTGCAGTATAAACAGCATTTCTCTCTTCTCTCTCCCTCTCTCTCTCTCTCTCTCTCTCTCTCTGTGTGTGTGTGTGTGTGTGTGTGTGTCTTACCTTATTGGCCCAAGCTTTTGGTATTCTTGCTTAATCACCTCAGCACAAGCTTTTTGTTGGACTGTTTTGGTTTTGCCACATTTGAACGTCTCCTTAAAACTGCAAAGAATAATTAAGCCCGTAAACAAGAAATTCTTTTACTACCACCTTGCTGTAAGGAAGATATTTTTGCAAAACGTCGTCATCTTCATGCAATATGAATTTCCCTTCATGCGATATGAATCTACCTGTTAATAACAGGTATCTGTGCTTTTCACCTCTACCTCCATCTCCCTTTTTGAATGTCTTCTGTCTTTTCTGTTTTTGCCTGGTTTGCTCACTTTTTCATGTTCTATTTTCATTGCATATTTTCCGTGACGTCCTTTACTAATCTCTTCCTTTTTCCAAGTTATTTTGTACCATTGAAATTTTGCCATGTGCTACTTATCTCTAACTAACATTTTATTATGTACTGGATCTTATATATTTAAAATGTATTTATTGTGTATCTTGGTTGTTAATTGTTCCATGCATATAAGTTTTAGCCCACTAGTTAAATTATTTGAGGGCAGGAACAGTGACGTGATCATAGATGTTTTCTTTGGTCTGCTATCTCTGAACACTGCTACCTCTGAACATACAAAGTAAATACTTGACCCATCAATCCAGTAGTACCTTTGGCAAATGTATGAGACAGTAGGGGTCAGACCCATGAATTTTCACAAAGTATGCTAAACTTGAGTTTTACACTAGTGCGGGGACTGATCATGGTCAGAGACTAAGCCTAGTCTTAGAAGTAAAATAAACTCACCTTAAATACCATTTGACCTAGCATTCCAATTACTTGATATTTACCCAAAGGAATATAAGTCATTCTGTTATAATAATACATGCATGCATATGTTCACTGCAGCACTATTCACAATAGCAAAGACATGGAATCAACCCAAATGCCTATCAGTGATAGACAGGATAAAGAAAATTGGTACATATACACTATGGAATACTATGCAGCCACAGCAAGGAATGAGATCATGTCCTTTGCAGGGACATGCATGGAGCTGGAAGTCATTATCCTTAGTAAACTAACACAGTAACAGAAAACCAAACACCGCATGTTCTCACTCGTAAGTGGGAGCTGAACAATGAGAACACATGGACCCAGGGAGAAGAACAACACACACTGGGGCCTGTCAGGGGTGTGGAGGGAGGGAGAGCATCAAGATAAATAGGTAATGCATGCGGGGCTTAATATCTAGGTGATGGGTTGATAGGTGCAACAAACCATCATGGCACATGTTTGTCTGTATAACAAACCTGCACGTCCTGCACATGTATCACGGAACTTAAGATAAAATTTAAAAAAGAAGTAAAACTCTATTACACTTTTTCATTAAGTTTCTCTACTCATACGTCCTAAAAGCACCCACAACATAATCTTCCTGTTTATTTCCAATAGTAACTGCCACTTTTTATCGTTTTCAGCTGCTTGTTTTAGTGATCTCTTTCCTTACTAATTTTCTGTCCTGAAGACCAGTGTCTTCAAAACGGAACAGTTTTTGTGAAATACTGTTCTAGATGTAGATTTTTAAAAAAATTCCTCCAGAGGAAGAATGAAATGAGAAAATGGCTAGATTCTTATGGATTATCTCTTGGAATGTTTGTGAGTAGCTCAGTTAGTTTACATTTTGTGTGAGTATAGACAGAAAGGACATTTTCTTCTGTAAAATAGCTGGGGCAAGCCTATACATTCATAATCACCCTCGTGCATACACCTCAATGCCTGAATGTGAGTGAATGGACAGTGCAACATTTATGATCAGTTAGGAAATAATTGCTTTTTTGCAATCTCAGTTAAATTACTGACTAGTGTCAGTCTCAAACTTTTACCCCTTGTCATGACATAAATACTACTATTGTAAGAAACTAATCTATGGGCCACCTAGGGAGCAATCTGTAGAAGAGAAAATCATAGTTAAAGAAAGAGATGAGTCTCCTTAGAAACAATTTTCCACCTAGTACCTTGCATATGTAGTTTATCATTTTGGTTGCAGACAATAAATAGTTAAGTCGAAAGCCAAATTGGCTTTGCTACAAATGAGGGTTAATGCCTTCACAAAGGAACTGACAAAGCCTATGACAATGCATCAAACTCTCCATTTACATAAGTTCAATGGCACTGACAGATGAGCTCCTCTTCTCAGGTATGTTGGGGTCATTTATAATGGGTGAGTTAACTGTGTTAATAGCCAACACACAAATCAGAATGTATGCTAGTCTGCCAGGGGAGTAGCTGATAATTTCCATCTGTCAATCTAAAATCTCTGGAGGTAAACACCTTGGCAGACGGAAAAGGACACTGAAAAATTAGCTGAAGCATGAAGCTGTGCAGTGTCTAACAGATAGTGGACACCAAGGGGACTGTTTAAACATATCACTGATCATGATTTCCGGACTTTACCTAGTGTATGCATTTCATGGGATTTTGTTTTTCCTCATTGAGAGCACATTTCAATATATTTGCCTTTTATGTTCTTAATTTCTCCTTTTTAAGTGGTGTGCCATTTTAAAATAATGACAATGGTTGCATATATATTTTATAAAGTCATTAAATGTAGCAATGAAGAACCTGAGACTCTTTTGACTTGGGATTGCCATCTCCTGTATCCTGCATTGCTACCTGCACAATTGAATAGTCCCCAAAGGCTTGGATTTCCTGAAAGGGGCACTTAGTATGCAGCTGGCCTCTCCCCATTGATGCCCACCTGCTGAAGTCAGTGACATTCTACACATTTGCTTCAGCAGGAGGACTGCCACATGCTGCTCCCACAATCTGGATAGAATTATTTTTTAAATCATCAGTACCATCTTCTCACTACTAATAAAACCATGGCAATTCTGGAGAAAAAGCAGAAAGAGGAATCAAGAGGGGAGAATGTCAGTCCTCATATAACTAGGAATGGAAACCATGGCCACAGGCATGGAACCTCATCTGATTTCAGCATTTTTCTTTTCTTTTCTTTTCTTTTTTTTTTTTTTCACTTTTGTTCTTGTCACATAGGCTGGAGTGCAATGGTACAATCTTGGCTTACCGCAACCTCCGCCTCCCAGGTTCAAGCGATTCTCCTGCCTCAGCCTCCTGAGTAGCTGGGATTACAGGCCTGCCACCATGCCCAGCTAATTTTTGTATTTTTGGTAGAGAAGGGGTTTCACCATGTTGGCCAGGCTGGTCTCGAACTGCTGACCTCAGGAGATATACCCTACCAGCCTCCCAAAGCATTTCGCTTTTCAAAGGAAATACGCATAGTTGGCTTCAGTCTCTCTGGTTTGATGAATAACATGCTGTTTTATTCATAGGTCCTTGAAATTATTTAAATAAAATCCCACAAAAATAAATTTGAGTTGTTTTGTTTTTCAGGAAAAAAAAATACTCAAGATTTGATATACAGCGACTTCAACTTTCTTTTAGGAGTATTGTTAAATGAGTAGAAATTACAGGCTGCATTTTAGATTTTGCTCTGGAGCCCTTCATAATTTTAAATGCTGGTTGTCATCTAAGTCATGTAACTCATTGGTACTTACGAACTACCAGCTTTGATCCCAGCCAAGATAATATTTTGAAGTTGTCTTTGAATGCGTATATTTGACATTTTAGTGGCATCAGTCGGTCTCCACTGGTCAACATTTTTTTTTTTTCTTTGACATCTATGTGTTCAATTTAGGCCCAGATGTATTAGAATTATAGCCTTGGAAGGGATCTAGCTGATTTTCTGGGTAAATTCTATCATCTTACAATTGAAGACACTGAGACTGAGAATGGGTCTGGACTTGTAATGATCCCTTATCTGACCTCTGAGAAGCCCCAATTTTATTCCTGGTCTAGGAATTCCTAAAGCAATATTCTTTCCACGTAGAACATCCTCAGATCTTTATTGTACTTGGTATATTGAAAAGGATGTCAATTTTGGTGCTAGCATGATGCAGGAAGCCCTATTTGTCACAGTGTAAGTAGCTTGATAACCCAAGGAAATTCCCACATTAAACTAAGTGGAGGTGCAAGCCTTAAAATTCCCCTTTAACAAGCTGGACATCAGATTGAGTTATTTATGCCCTTCAATATCTTATCATCTTAGGACTCAAAGGGCACCTAGATGATTTGTTTTCTAATCTTTATTTATTTATGTGTTTATTTATTTATTTAAGACAGAGTCTCACTCTGTCACCCAGGCTGGAATGCAGTGGCACGATCTCCACTCACTACAACCTCTGCCACCCAGGTTCAAGCGATTCTCCTGCCTCAGCCTCCTGAGTAGCTGGGACTACAGGTGCCTGCCACCACACCTGGCTATTTTTTGTATTTTTTTAGTAGAGATGGGATTTCACCATGTTGACCAGAATGGTTTGGATATCCTGACAATGTGATCCAACCGCCTTGGACTCCCAAAGTGCTGGGATTACAGGCGTGAGCCACCGTGCCTGGCCTTAATCTTTATTTTTATTTATTTTTTTTTGAGACAATTCTCTGTCACCAAGGCTGTAGGGCAGTGGTGTGATCTCAACTCACTGCAACCTCCGCCCGGCAAGCTCAAGCAATCCTTCCACCTAGCCTCTTGAGTAGCTGGGACAAGAGGCGCACACCACCATGCCTGGATGGTCCTTTTAGGGGGGAGGTTTTTTTTGTTGTTGTTGTTGTTATTGTTTTTTGGGGGTTTTTGTTTGTTTGTTTTGTGTAGAGACAAGGTTTTGCTATGTTGTCCAGGCTGGTCTTGAACTCAGAGAGGATTGCACAAGCAATCCTCCCACCTTGGCCTTTCAAAGTGCTGGGAATATAGGCATGAGTCACTGCATCTGGCCCCTTTCTAATCTTTAATTAACTCTTCCACAGTCAGTATTATTTAAATGAGATTCAAGCTTATCCTTAAAATAGGTATTTGTGTGTATTAATTTTGTAGCCTGCATGGCATAGGGGAAAGAGCATCGGATAAGAAGCTAAGAACTAGGAACCTAGACAACTTTTTTTAGCCTATTACCATGAAATATTTACTTACTTGAATCCTAGGAAAAGCCACTGAAGCCAGATCCAGGATAAGAGTAGAATGATAAGAGCAGCCGGGAAGGAAAATGTAAACCATGATCCAAAGTTGAGGCAACGACAGTCAGGATAGCGTCTGTGTGAAAACATGGAGACATATTCAGGGAAGGAGAGACAGGTGGAATCATTTCAGATTGTAACAGGAAAGCAGCAGTCCACCTCTTTCCTGTGCTGCTGTCCAAGAAGGAAGTCCTGGAATAGACTCATCATTAAGTACAGTACTTTTACCCCTTATCTCCTGTCTTCATTCTGTAACTGCATAATTATCGCTGCATCCCATAAAAGCAAGAGTCGATATGTTTTGATTTTTGTTCTCTATATTTAATCTTTAAGGACGTGCTTGTGGAAAAAACCCAGCGCAGTGCTTGGTACTCATTAAATGCACAAGAAATAGGTGTTCATGAGGTGTGTGCGTTTTGTTGTCACTACTCAAATCATCAGTATATGAACAAGGAAACACACATAAGCAGAATTGGGAACGGGTGAAAATTAATGGGACTGAATGTCTGTTCCCATTTCACCTTGGTGACTAGAATTCTTGGGCCTGTGAAAGAACTCTGATCCAGCCCAAGTCATCTCCCAAGGCTGTTTTCCCCTCTGTTTCTTCTACCTCAAAGCACAGCAACCAGCAAACCAGGTATATGGTAGCTCTTTCTTCCTAGAACCAGGTGCTTTGGGGCACAGTCAAATGGAATAACTCTGAGCCAGATAAAAATAATTAAAAGTTCTGAAGAAATCAACAACTTTTCTTTTCATCTTACCTAGTTATTTTTCAACTTTTAAACTCACATAATAACAACAACAACAAAAGGTCAGACACTAGCACAGTTTCTTTGGTAACCTCACATTCATTGTTCTAAAATGTCTCATACCAAATAAATTCTTATATAGTCATCTATTTTATAACTATGGAGAAACAATAGGAAATTGGAGAAATAGTTGTCTTTACTTTTTTTCTAAAAGCAGTAACACAGAGATAAATTTGAAAATCTGAAAAACAAAGATATACAGAAGTAATGAAAACATTGTTAGCATATTTTAATATTCTTGAAGTCATAAAATATGTAGAACTTTATAGAAATATAGATTTGCATTTTTTCTATTTGAATCATACTTTGTCTTTTATCATTTAAAAATCATGTAAGTAATAAAATATTTCATGTTATATCTATGTAGCAAATTTATTCACTTTAGAGTGTTTCTTTTCCTACTTTAAGATGGTTCTTAATAATAATGGGTCCTCAAAACTCTAGATTTCTAAGGTTTTCTATAATTTTCTTTGAGCTTATGAAAAGTTACTAATCTCCCTAGGCCCTACAATTATCTTTAGCAACTTGAGGATAATTTTTATCTACCTTGAAGAGATCCAAATATTAGCTTACATATTTATGCAATTAGAAAGTGACAAATGATAATTAAAGATGTTAGAAAATTGGCAGTGTGGTGAATGGAAAAATGCTTTATCACATCCATGAGGCTCTACTGAAAACTGTTCGTTTTTGAAAAATGTTTGTTGTCTCCAATTGGAAAATAAAGTAACAGGGGGAAAGCTGATTTCCCATTAACATTAGACTTGGATTACCGGATGACCTATGTTATTCTGTATACAACCTAACGACACTCAGGAATGCTGCTTGGATTAGGTTTAGACCCATGTCCTCAAGCCTAATTTCACTTTTCACCATCTGTGGCTCATATCTTGAAATCAGTATGCAGAGTTCTCTCTACCCACTGGAGAGAATCCTACAAAATGTATTTGACTGAAGATGGGCTTTTCAGAATTTTTGCCTGAAGGAATAGTTTCTTTAGAAAAATGAAAGCCTGAAAAAGTTAAACTTTGTTGTTTTGTTTAGTTTAGTAGTATGGAAGTATATAAACAACCACATGGGACTATGCCTCTTTAATCATAACCTTTACCCTTATACCTAGAGTGAATATTTTGAGCAAATAAAGAAATGTATGGCATACTCTAAGGATTTTCTTTTGCTGTGATGTTCCTTTTCCCACTCTTTCTCATATCCTACAAGTGAAGAGACTTCAAACATGCGTCTAAAGCAAATACAGTCTTCTTCTGTCATGAACTATGCTAAGAGATTTAATTCTGATGAAATCCTTTTCTTTTACCTAACACTGGTGTCTACCAAGTGCCAGGTGCTTTCCAAGCTACTGAGGACATAGTGGTGAATGAAATTGACCTGGTGCGGGCTCTCATGAAGTTTATGTTCAAGTAGGGAACACAGGCAATAAACAGGTAAACATATAACAAAATAGGAAATAAAGCAGAATGATGTAATAAAACATGATTGGGGAAGGGGGAAATTTTACATAATGTCGTCAGAGAAGGTAACGTTTTAGATGAAACCTAAATACCAAGAAGGAGCCAGTCATGTGAATAACTAGGAAACAGCATTCCAGACAGAGGAAATAGCAATTACAAAGTCCTTGAGTTAGGAATGAGTTTGTCGCACTTGTGGAGAGACAGGAGACCACTGTGGCTGTGGGTTGTGAGTTAAGGTGAGTGTGACATGAAAGAAGTAGTCAATAGGGATCAGATCATATATAACCTTGTAGCCAGTCTGAAAGAATTTGGATTTTATTACAAATGCAATAAGGACTAATTGGAACATAGTAAGTTAGTAACGTGACATGATCTACTTAGTAATTGACCTAAAACAGATTGGCTCCTGGATGCATTCTCAGGATTGAAGGCAACAAGAGTGGAAACAGCGTGTGATGTTCAGGATGTGGTAGGCAGGGTTCCAAAATATGACCCAAATTCCTGCCGCCTAGTGTGCATGCCTTGTACAATCTCCTCTTCTGTGTGGGTAGAATCTGGGAATATGATGAGATATCACTCCTGTGATTAGGTTGCTTAGTGAAAAGAGTGAACGGATTTTCCTTAGGTAATCAGAGTCCCTATCAATTGATAGAGTTAATCAAAAGCACGAACTACCCTGGGTAGGCCTAACTTAATCAGGTGAGCCCTTAAAAGAGAGTTTCCTGCTGGCCTGAAGAAGCAAACGTCCTGTTGTCAGAGGACGGGGCCCTGTACCAAGGGCCTGAGGGCAGCCTTTAGAAGCTGAGAGTGACCCCATGCCAACAACCAGCAAGAAAATGGACACCTCAGTAACTAAACTGCAAGGAACCAAATTCTCCTGACAACCTCAGTGAGCTTGGAGGAATACCCTGAGCCCCTATCTAGGTTACAGGCCTAGTTGCCACCCTGCTGTCAGCCTGGTAAGATCCTGAGCAAGAGCCCAGCTAACCTTTGCCTGGAGTCTTTTTTAAAAAAATTCTTAAAATTTTAAATTTTTGTGGGTACATAGTTGGTGTATATATGTATGGGGTACCTGAGATATTTTGATAAAGGCATTCAATTTGTAATAATCATACCATGGAAATGGGATTATCCATCCCCTCAAGCATTTATCCTTTATGTTACAAACAATCCACTTATACTCTTTTAGTTATTTTTAAATATATAATTAAATTATTAACTATAGTCACCCTGTTGTCCTATCAAATACTAGGTGTTATTCATTCTTTCTGTTAATTTTGTACCCATTAACCATCTCCACCTTTCAGCCCACATCCTATTATCCTTCCGAGTCTTGGGTCACCATTCTTCTACTGTCTATCACCATTAGTTCATTTGTTTTGATTTTAGATCCCACAGATAAGTGAGAACATATAATGTCTTTCTGTGCCTGGTTTATTTCACTTAACATACTGACTTCCAGTTCCATTTATGTTGTTGCAAATGACAGGATCTCATTCTTTTTTTATGGCTAAACAGTATTCCATTGTGTATGTGTACCACATCTTCTTTATCCATCTGTTGATGGGCACTTAGGTTGCATCCAAATCGTGGCTATTATTAATACACACAGTATTGCAACAAACATGGGAGTGCAGATATACCTTCCAAATACTGATTTTCTCTCTTTTAGATATATACCCTGCAGTGGGATTGCTGAATCACATGGTGGATTTATTTTAGTTTTCGAGGAACTTCTGAACTGTTCTCCATACTGGTTGTACTAATAATTTACATTCCTACCAACAGTGTATGAGGGTTCCCTTTTCTCTACATCCCCACCAGCATTTGTTATTGCCTGTCTTTTGGATAAAAGCCATTTTATCTGGGATGAGACGATATCTCATTGTAGTTTTGATTTACATTTCTCTGATGATCAACAATTTTGAATGCCTTTTCATATGCCTGTTTGCCATTTGTATGTCTTCTTTTGAGAAATATTCAAATATTTTGCCCATTTTTAATTGTATTATTAGATTTTTTCATATGGAGTTGTTTGAGCTCCTTATATATTCTGGTTATTAATAATTTGTTAGATGGAAAACTTGCAAATATTTTTTCTCATTCTGTGGATTATCTATTCATGTTGTTGATTGTTTCCTTTGCTGTGCAGAAGCTTATTAACTCGATGTGATGCTATTTGTCCAGTTTTACTTTGGTTGCCTGGACTTGTGGGGTATTAGTCAAGAAATTTTTGCCCAGACCCATGTAGTAGAGAGTTTAATCAATGTTTTCTTGTAGTAGTTTCATAGTTTGAGGTCTTAGGCTTAAGTATTTAATTTATTTTGATTTCATTTTTGTTTATGGCAAGAAATAAGGGTCTAGTTTTATTCTTCTGCATATGGATATCCAGAGTTCCCAGCACCATTTATGGATAAGACTGCTTTTTCCCCAGTATATGTTCTTGGCACCTTTATCAAAAATGAGTTCACTGAAGATGTATGGATTTGTTTCTGGGTTCTCTATTCTGTTCCATTGGTCTATGTGTCTGTTTTTATACAAGTACTATGCTGTCTTGATTACTATAGCTCTGCAGTATAATTAGAAGTCACGTAATGTGATTCTTACAGTTTTGATCTTTTTGCTAGAGATAGCTTTGGCTATTCTGGTTCTTTTGTAGTTCCATATACATTTTAGATTATTTTTCTACTTCCGTGTAGAATGTCATTGACATTTTCATAGGGATTGCCTTGAATCTGTAGATTGCTTTGGGTAGTATGAACCTTTTAATTCTTATCCATGAACATGGAATATCTTCG